CCAACTGTACTTAGCTTAATTACATGCACTTCACTCCAAAAGCCTAATAGTACTCAAAGTTTATAATAAAACGAGCAGTCCCCTGTCTTACCCTCCCCACTCTTCCCCACCCTCACTCACATCCAGCTCCCAAGAGGCCTCTATTGTCAACATTTCCAACTAGCTCTTCCAGTATTTGCCTTCATGTTTCAAATAACATTAGCCCTGCTCTCTCAAGATTTTTCAGCTTTAGACCATTATTATTGAAGACCTATTATGGAAAATGAAGGTCCTTAAACTATCTCGCTCTTGCTGTCATACACACACACACACACACACACACACACACACACACACACACACACTCCTCCCCACCCCAATGGACTACTACTGCTTTATTGCCTTCAGAGCCTCTAGGATAGCCTGAGCTAGCTTACACCTCTTTACAGGAATGGAGACTAGAGTCTTGACCTTCGGTTAAACATGGCAGACTTAACGCAAACATCTATCCCACACTCCCTCCCAGAACGCCAGTGAAAACCACATCCCATAAGGATGGTTTGACAAACCGAGGGCTGGGTAGCCTGGAGCAGAGGAGATTCAGATGCACATTCTCCCTGGTTGAATCTCTGAGGGGTAGAGAGAGCAAACATGCTGGGGGAGCTTCAAGGGGTATCCAGAGCAATAAGGGAAGCCCCAGGAACAGAACAGAATGGGACGGACTTTCACAGGCCCCCACTGGCAGAGGACAAGCTAGGGTCGCCTGACCATGTGTTGGGGACAGGGAGGGACTCCTACATGAGGAGGGAATTGAACACATGACTTTCTATAACCCAGTAATTTGCTTCCTTTTATAATAGTTGGCAATTAGAACCCAGTGGTGCTTTGCAATCACTCTTGAGTTAATAACTGGAGCTGCCCAAGTGACACACCCATCTGGCAATTTCTTTTGGGGATGCTGAAATAACTAGCTCAACGTTCTCATGAGCAATCAGTTCAGCTGACCCTTGCCTTGTAAAAGGAGGTTCGAGATGATTCAGAGAGGAATCATAACATGGCAGATGGGACAGAGCTCTTAATCCCACGAGTTTTAAGCACTCTGGAGACAGATATGCTGGGTGGAGCAATACAGTAGATTTGGCCACGGTCTGTGAGCCTCCCTGGCTTCGCAGCAAGAATCTCAAAAGGGAAACTGAAGAAACACCCTCCAAATCCTGCCTTCCCCCTTGCCCCACTTGAAAGAGAAAGAGGGAAGAGTGTGGGTGTTGGCAAAATGGAATCGTACCTGCACAACTGCACCTGGAGAGCAGGGCCAAACCCCCAGCAGCTGGGCACTTGGAGCTGTCCCTGTTCTGCTCCCTGACTTGGCACTTTGGAAAGAAATGTGCTTGCTCAGAGATGCGAATCTGCTGGGACCTCCTGTGCTCTCCAAGCAGGGCGGGCTCCTTAATTCTCATGCCATAACTGGCAGTGTGGTGTAACTGGACTAAGAGTGAGGGAGGGGCTATGGTCAGGGTTTATGAACTGAGTGACTTGGGTGAATCGCCTTCCCTCCCCTAGGCAGAAGGACAGAGCACTTACCACTGAGCTCTGGAGTAAGGTGTCTGGGTTCAAATCCCAGCATTGCCATTGATGAGCTGTGTGACTTTAGACAAGTTCCCCACCCCCTCTGAGCCTCGATGTCCTCACCTTTAAAATGGGGGTGGGTGGAGGTGCAGGAGGGGAGAACTGTCACTTAAGGATTGTTAGCTTATGAAGTCCTTAGAGCAGTGCCCAACTCATAGAATGCTTATGATTATAATTATCAGCAGCTGCAAAAAGAAGACAGCAATCTTCACCCACTTGACCTTACAGGATCCAACCAAATAATACCCTTGAAAACAACACTCTGAAGTTGTGTATAAGTGCGAGAAATTTGGCAGGCAGCACATTAAACCTTAAAAACATTAGGAGGCTATACAAGTCCAGTTTTTCTAACCCCACTTGTTAAATAAACATTGTGTCTATGATACAACAAAGTCTTTAGAACCTTTTATCAAGATAGGTAATAACTTTTATTTTATAATTTAATATCATATAGCACAGTCAATTTTTGAAGATACAATTTTTTTAAAAGTGTGCGAACTTAACACTTTCAGAAAATATCACACTCAGGCCAAATTTAGAACATGGATTACTAAATGGAATGATGGGTATTGACAAAGAAAATGCTATCCCTGGCTTGCTGTGAGATCCTGGGCAAACCACCTCCCTCCCTGACCTCAAGTCGCCCCATCAGCTACACTGGCCACAGGGTGATTTCTGGGAGTCTTCCAGTCTGCACCCTGTGGACCTATGATTTGGAGGATCTTTTAGACCAAACTTTTGAGACGGAAGAGCCGCCAGGGGTCAGCAAACTGTGGCTCGTGAGCCACATGCTGCTCTTTGGGTACGTACATGTGGCTCTGAAGTAAAATTGAAAGCGAAAATAAACTATCATAGTTCCATTTATAATATTACTTTAAATTTTCCTTATTTGTAAAAATATATTTATGGCTCTCGAATAATTTTTAAATTGTTGTGAGGGACAGGATTGGCTCTTCCAGGGGTCGGCAAACTTCTGAAACGGAACGTACCCAAAGAGCTGCATGTGGCTCGCTACGAGCTGCAGTTTGCCGACCCCTGTTTTAGCCCAATAAACTTGACCTCAGCTATAGCATTGTTATGTTTCCTGAGCTGACACCACCCTCTGGTGTGCGTGTGAGAGTAAGACACTAGTGACCAGACAACCAGAAGCTTCCTTCTCTCCCTCTTATTCTCATTTGAGTATCTCGCTACTGAAAATATTGTCCAAAAACCAGAAGCACTGGCATCATCTGGGAGCTTCTTCAAGAAATGCAGAATCTCTGGCCCCATCCTAGACTTACTGACACCGGAGTCGGCCTTTTAACAGGATGCCAGGTGAGGTCGACAAATCCAAGATGGCGCAGTAGATAAACACTGTGCCTGCTTCTTTCCATGAACACATAAAAATTACAACTAAATTATAGAACAATCAACCTGGAGAACCATCTGAAGTCTAGCTGAATAGAAGTTTTATTACCCCAGCCTGGAGTACTGGTGCCGGGAAGAGGAGACCCCACAACATCTACCTGTGAAAAAAAGTGGAGATTCCGACCATCCGGGTGGGACGGAAGGCTGCGGGAAACCCACATGTCCTTTTAACGAGCACACACAGACTCACTCGCTCGCAGGCACTTACCTCGGGCTCAGTGGAGGAACGGTGACTTAGGGGGCATCAGAAACATATGGGGGCAGAGTGAAGTGTGTCACTTCAGGTGAGGGCTGAAGGACAGTTGCCATTTTCCCGGTGTGGGGCCTCCTCCTATGCAGCTGGCAGGCAGGCGCCATCTTTTCTATGTTGAGCCCTCCCCCACAAGACCAAATCTGAATCTGAATGGCCTGGTGAGCTCCACAGCTCCGTTCTGCTGACTCCTTGGAACCCTGCCCCACCCAACTCCCCCAACACCAGTGGCACTTTCTCCATGAGCAGTCAGCCCCATCCTCATTGCACTCTTTCTTGGAAAACTATCAGAGTCTGTGGGCTCCAGGCAGGCAGCAACTGGCCTCAGTGTACTCTGAGACTCTTGCTGAGCAGCTCCAAGCTCAGCACTGGCACCAAACCGGAGTTGACATTAACCTGGTGACTACAACTCTTCCCACTGTAGTGCCTCCCTGAGATCCTGCCTCACCCAAGTCATGTACTGCATGAGGCTTTATCAGCGGCTGAACCTTAAGGGAGCTGGCAAGTGGCAGCAAGTCTCTGGGTGTCCTGGCTTTTTGGGGAGCTACCTCAGGCCTGGTACTGGTGGCAGCCATCTCTCAGTTTGCAGTGTTGGCTCTCCCACATGCTTCCAGGTTTAGAACAGGCAGCGAACAGCTGTGGATCACTTTGTAGCTCCTACCAGGTCGTCCCTGTCCTGTTACAGGCAGTGGGTGACCTAGTCCTGCACCAGAGCCCCCCTCCAAGAGGCTCTAGAACCAACATACTTGGAGGTTGGCTTCAGACCACAGCAGAGCACCATCCAATTAGCCCCACAAGTGTGGTACACCCAAAGGGTGGTCTCAACAGGCCCCAAAGCCCACTGGGGTAAATCCCACTCAGTGGGGTAAGCCCACCGCACAGCAACCCATAAGCTGTGGACGTGGCCAAAACCCACAGCCAATCAGCCTGAAGGCCAATGCCACCCACAGACATGCCAATAGCAATCAAGACTCAACTATAACAGGAGGCAAGGGATTGAGAACCTATTTGAAGAAATAATGACTGAAAACTTTCCTTACCTGGTGAAGGAAATAGACATACAAGTCTAGGAAGCACAGAGTCCCAAACAAGATGAACCCAAACAGGCCAAGATACATCATAATTAAAATGGCAAATGTTAAAGACAAAGAATCTTAAAAGCAGCAAGAGAAAGGCAACTAGTAACTTATAAGGGAGCCCCCATAAAATCATCAGCTGATTTCTCAACAGAAACTTTGCAGGCCAGAAGGGATTGGCACAAAATATTCAATGTGATGATTTTTGTCATTCAATTTTTTTACCCAGCCACTTTACTTCTTTTATAATTTGTTTCCCACTTGATTCTCTTTGATTTTTCATAGACATACTCAATCTGAAAATTATAAAAAAACTTACCTTCATTCCAAATTTGAAAATATTTCACTTATTTTTATTGTGTGATAAAATAAATTAGAAATAATAAACAAAGTTAAACATTATTAGAACTTCTTTCTTGAGTTTTGTTCTTGGGAAGGCTTCTAGAGTTCCCTCATTATTTGTAATGGGTTTTTAAATGGAATTTAGCTTATTTTAATGTTAAAAGAAAATAATCACTGATACCTGTTTTACTATAAGTTTTGGTCAAGGATATTATATTTTATCCAATCTCTTTCACTATATATGGAAATATGATTATTGCCTCCATTGGTATGGAGAATTACATTATTATAATTCCTAATATTAAAGTATGCATTTTGTATATATACTACAGCATTTATTTTTATAATGTTTACTATATTTGAAGCAATATTATAAGTGCAATTGGTATATAAAAGTTTTTATATAATTGGCAGGTTTTATAAGCAATGACTTGAACATTTTATAAAATAGTTGGAAGTATTAATTTTTACTATGCTCTGGAGTATTGGAAATATCTGATCTTTGAATTTTAGGTAGAATTCACCTACAAAACTATAGGCCTAGCAAGTTGTTTCTTAGGGGTGATTATGCTTCAACAATTTCCTCTATTTTTTTCCATGGCAATCTGTTAATTTCTATTTATAGCTCTTACGGTTTCCTATAGCTTCCAAAGATTTCCATTTCATCTTAATTTTCAAATTTATTTTAACAGAGTTAAACACAATTGAGATTCCTATTATTTGTATTTGTAGTTATTTCCTCATTCATATCTTATAAATTTGTGCTTTCCCCTTCATTATTTCATTATTTGTTCTCATAGCACTGCTTTCATTGTCATTAGTTCTACAACTATTTTTTGTCTAAATCATTAATGTCTGCTGTGATATTTTAAAATTTAGTTTCTTTTGCTTCTCTAAAGTTGATTTCATTTATTTTCTTTCTAACTCTTTGTATTGTATGCTGAATTTGTATGCTGAATTTGTTTTTTTACTTCTTGCAGGCATAAAGTGTGTGCATTTTCCTGCCAGCAGTGTTTAAGCAGCATTCCTTAGATATTTTCTAGATAATTCCTCAATTTGGTTTTAAGTTTTGCTTTAAAAAATTATTTAATTTCTAGTTAGTAGTTTTATTTTTCCTTCCTGGTGTTATTATTAGTTATTAATATTCTTGCAATAAATAACGTATATAAAATGTATCTAAAAAATGATGCCAGGTGATTTCATACACATTAAAGTGTGAAAAGCACGGCTTAAATAGGAGAAAAAGGCAGCTAGTTAGTGCAGGAAATTTAAGTTTCTCACATACTCAACCCATAAAGAAATCCAGGATTGAGTCATATAAATAAAACAAATCCTTTCCAACTGACATATAAGGAGCATTTTACAAGTTTTCAAAAGGGAGCCTTCTGAAATAGTAAGTAGGTATCTGATGACAGGTGTGGGAAGCCCTGAACTTGAGTTTGAGATGCACCTGCATTGTCTACATTGCTTCTGATGTAATAATCATACTGGTGACCAGAACAGAAGGCCAATTCACACCTTCCAGTGGGACAGGTGGGGACCCACCCAGGCTCAGACGCCTCACCCATAAGAGAAGGGAAAGCTTCCTCAAAATATTGCAAATTGCTTCCCAGTCTCTGATAATATATCCCTTGATACTCCCCTCCTCCCACCCAAATATTTTCATTTTTTCTATCCTAAAAATGACCAGATATACACTGATGGCAGGAGTAAGACAGATGACTTCCCAAGCAAAGGTAACTGACTGCAGTGCCCGGTGAACGCAGATGAAAGTGCACATGTCGCCTCCCTGCACTCATTATGGATTTGGTCAGCGTTCATCTTCTGTCTGCCTGGGAAGGGCTGACACCCCTTCATGGAGCTCAGACTGACACTGCAGAAAGGGTGGCAGGAGGCAGGCAGGATTCTTACCTTTATTACAGGTTGAGCAGGGCATCTTGCCTGCTTTATAGGTTACCATGACGGGGAGGGGAAGGTTTGGCCCCACAGTGCCTTACATTTAGGAGGGAACTGAGCTGTGCTAGAAGGGGTTCATACCATATTCCTACCTGCTGAGGAACTGTTTAATCCCATAACGATAAAATAACTAAATCATTTAATATTTAGTTTTGAATAAACACCCACTGAAGTTTATTATGTTTCATATTTTATAAAGTGCATTTATGAAAACGGAAATTGAATGAACCCATACTGGATGCCAAGGACTAAGGAAGCTAAGCCCTCACCTGCTCTATGTTATCTAACCCTTACACCTAGTGCACGAGCCTGGTTTCATCATTCCCATTTTACAGATGAAGAAACTGAAATTCAAAGTGATTAAAATACATCAGATTGACCCAAGCCAGGTCAACTGGAGTTCTTTCTGGGTAATTGTTAAACTAGATCCATCAGAGAGGGGACTGTGTAAAAAAGAGCGTGAGACACAAGGTGACACTTTTAAATCAATCGCACATGTGTCTTCATCTCTCACATCTGATCGGCTGCAAAAACAGAGATCTGCAATGCTCTCACACATTTTTTTTTAATCATTCATATTGACTTCCTCACGTTGACAAGATCTCAGAAATGGATCGGGAATCTTTCACAAACCAGAATTACCAGGACAAAATTTCGCAGCAGCTGCTACAGCTCAAAAGGAATTAAATGACCAAATATTATGAATGAATACACTTGAAAACTGAATTTAATATAGAACATTAAATTTCTCTCTGACACCAATGTGTGATAAAAATTAAAAATGATATAAACAAATTTTAAAGTTCCAGTGGTAATTACTAAAAGTAGCCAGCCAACACCACATCTGGGTGTCGCCGAAGTCCACCCCTTGTGGTAGAAGTTTATGTTAGCCCAGTACATCAAGTTGCTCCTTGTAGATTTCAGCTTTGGTTAGTCCTCTATGGCTAACATAAACTTTGGAGGTTTGACTATGGTCCTAACACGTAATCAAATGGCATTCTTTATTAAATCAATCTAGATTATCTCAATGATCTGAAGAAATCAGTACAGTGTTCCCACCGTCCATCTGTCCACAGTGAGAAAAACCTAACTCAACGTTTGAAGTATTATCAGTTTATGCAAATAAAAAAAAGTTTATTACATAAGTCTAATTGCCACATATACAAACATCTTCATACCTGGAAATCCTTGCCGATACCGAAATAAAATACTTACTTTTTTGCCACGGGGAATAAAAAGGCGTGACAGTGGAATATACATCTTGATAGAAAAATATTTAAAGGTTTTTAACTCTCTGAATACCAAGGGTTAATATTTTATCATTATCCTTTAAAAATAGGGTTTTTGGGAGCAATTTTAAAGTTTTCAAAATCAGTACAAAGCTTAGTCACATTCTATTAAATCTAACATCACTTTCACAAACTGCACAATGATTTCCTTATGAAGCAGAGTAGCCAAGTTTTTGGTGAGACTGTCACAGAACTTAGCTACATCTCTGTTGGACACAGAGTCCAGGGGTCCCCCATCTCCTCTGATGGGCTCCTTGGTACAGTGACACTTTATAGCATGCGTTCCTTGAAGAACCATTTCTGATGTTCCGAATAGGTGCAGTCGCGCAAGAGTGGTACAAAACTGTCACTGAATGCCTTCCTCTCAGCCTGAACACATTTCTTGGACTGTACGTGAAATAAAGAACCATCCTACAAAAGATAATAAGACATGGATGTTCAAGAGAATTACAAGCAATTCCTCAGAAAATATTTTTTTCTTTAGTGCTCAGGGTGAGTTTTATCATTTCAGATATATTTATTGAGCATTAAGTGTCTGCATGTATAAAGGCAACCCAGGGCTGTCCATGCATAGGGAGGTCCAGGTGTGTTCATACATGGGTCATGCCCGCCCTTCGCGGGAGCGCTTCCCAGTCCCTGACGCCACTGTCAGGGCGGATGGTGCCACCTGCTGGCTGCTGCGGGGATCGGTCAGACCTGACCTGTCCTAGCTTTTCTTTTCCTTCAGGAAAATCAGGACTAAAGATCTTTCATATTATCTCTTCCTCTTCTCTTAGGTCAACTAATTCCATCCTTGGTGATATCTTCCTTTTATGTATTTAAGCGGAGAGTCAGGAAACTTGGCTGTAATCCCAGCTCAGTATAGACCAGCTGGGGGAGTGGGGCAAGCCACCAGAAAGGAAGTGGGTTCTACAGACCGTGCCAATACTCAAACACCAAAAGACGACGGCCCTCTTTAATGCTTCCCTCTTCTCTTCCTTACTGCTTCTCCCTACTCTTCTTTTGCCCAACTGGTGCTGAGTTAACTCAGAAAATCCCCCCATCAGGCCTGGAGTTTCTCTTTCCCCGCCACCTCTCGCTGTTGTAAGCTGTACGCCCTCAAGGAACTTAATCATGGCCGAGCAACAAAAGGGCAGAACAAGTGACATACCTGACCTGTTCCAGGGCAAGAGAGGCCTGAGAAATAAAGTTACATGCAAAAAAAAAATCTCAAAAACATTAACCCTGAAAACCTTGAAAAGTGCTCTTACGTTGCCTTTAAAGTAACAAGAAAGTAAATACAGGCCTACCTCATTTTATTGGGCTTTGTTTTTAGGGATTCACAATATTGGGTTTTTTCTTTTACAAACTAAAGGTAAGACCCCCCACCAGCAAAAAGACTTCGACTCACTGAAGGGATCAGATGATGGTGAGCATCTTTTGGCAATGAAGCATTTTTTAATTAAGGTATGAACATTGTTTTTTTGGATACAACACTATATCACACTTAAAAGACTACAGTGGAGTGTAAACGTAACTTTCATATGCACTGGGAAACCAAAAACAACCCCCAAAATTCGTGTCACTCGCTTTATTGAAATACGTGCTTTATTGCAGTGGTCTGGAACCAAACCCACCGTATCTCTGAGGTATGCCTATAAGCACGCCTCTTCCCACCCTTCTAAAGAGGCTTACTTTTCCTTAAATGGTCAGCGAAATTTAAGATAAAATTTTTAATGACATTGCAACCCAATTTTATGGTCTCTATCTTGCATTACTATTCCTTGAGGGCTTATAATGGCTTCTAGTTGAAAGAATGAAGAAAAGGAGAGGGCGTTACAGGGGATTATGGGCTTTGGGGGGTTTGCTGAAGTATTTTCCCTCTTATTTTTTATATCAGATAGACAGCACTGCGGTGCTGGGCTTTTCCGGGTAGCCTGCAAACTTCATTGCTAATCATAACATTTTCTACAGGAAAACGTACTCCAACTTCTAATCATACTTAGAATTAACCCATTTACAAGCAGTCTAAATGAATCTTTCCATCCCTGAAGCCAGGCTGGGAATGAAAGCTTCCCATAAAGATAAAAGAGAGCTAATTTTTTCTTTTGAATTATTTTCTTTGGCTTTATTCCCTCGAGCATTTTTTAGTGAGTCAAAGGATATGACTGATTTATGAGTCCCATCATGGGTTTACTGCAAATATGGTGGGGCTAGTGCCTTTCAGATCTGACATAACACCCAGTTCCAAGTCAAAGGCTATTCTGATGGACAGCCAACTCCACCAGGGAGATTTTTTCTTGGTTATTATACTGCAATTCACAACTAATCTCTATAGAGCTTCCCAGTTTCTAATGACTATTCCTGGCCATACGTCTAATCGTCACTCAAGTCAACACAAGGCTGCTATTACTGCCCCCATTTTAGAGCTGGGAAAAAGGAGGCTTAGAGCAGCGGAATGACTCCCACCCTTACGCTTTGGTGATTTGTTTCACTTGTTTAAACCCCATTTCATCTTTGAATGCATTTGTGACAGCTCCTCTTCCCAGTTCAGCCCTCTGCAGCTCAAAGTGTAAAAGGGATGGAAAGACTGAAAGACAGTGAGGAAAGAAGGAAGGCGTGGTGGACACTGGACACCAGACACTGTGGGGCTCCACCAGTGCAGCTACGGGCTCGGGGTCCCTGAAGTGCCCGGTCTCCCGTACATGGCTGCATCCCTGAGACTCTCCAGGACTAGACGAGAGAGCATGCTCTACTTCCATGCTCCGCTCTGCGGCCCAGGGGACCAGCAGCAAGCCAGGAAGGAAACAGCTCACTTACCTCCTGCAAGATGAATTTCTGGTTCTCTGGGGCCTTTTCCTCACAGAGGTGCATGGTGAGAATATCCGTTCCTGCCTGGACAGCTACACAGGCCTCTGGCTGGTGGGTGTTGTAGCGAATTTCATTCTGGGACGTGTACTCGAAAAACTAAAAATGAAACAGCCCACAGGCGTCCGTTACCCTCTGATGTGGAAAGAGGGGAATCGCTGGTTGAGAACCTGGGGTCACAAGAGCCTGGGAGCCGGGGTCCCTCACTCTCCCCTTATCTGCCAACACTAGACTGATCACTTGGCCTCTTGCGTGTCCCCTCAGCACTCTGTACACCCTGGTGTGGCTCTTAGCGAGTGTGAACGGGGGGCCTATTCTCATGCCTGCCTCAGTAGCTAGGTAGTGAGGGTGGGACTGCTGCCTGGGTCACCCTATGCCCACTGTGCCTAACCCTGTGTTGGGGTGGAACAGCAGGAAAGGAAATGGACCAGCCCCAGCGCCAGCACTTGGGAGTTCTCGGTGACCCTGACAAGCCAACTTCCTCTCCTTTTCTTCAGTCCTTCTCCGCCCCCCCAAAAACAATGAGTGCAGCCATGCCTTAGAAAGTATAGAGTGCTGTGCACAAGAGGGGAACGTGACTGCTCATGGGAGGCTGGGTTCTTCCAGAGCAACAGATTTCCAACTCTAGGAAAAATACTGATTCCTGTCCCATCCCAGAAAGGGAATGAGGGTTCCCTCAGTCTGTGAAGGGGCCTAGGAAGCTGCATTTTTACATTTTTAACAAGACATTCAGCCATCTACCCACCCTGCCCCACCCCCTCCCTTCCAGGAGATTCTGACACAGGCGGCTGCTTTTAAGGCACGTGGAGCAGGGCCTCTCAAATGAATTTCCCAGAAAGCTGATTAATGCAAGAGACTGGGGTTCAGGAGAGACAGGGTGAGCCCGAGAATGTGCATTTCTAAGCTCTCAGGTGATGCTGATGGAACCAGTCAGGGGACCGCCTTTGAGGAGCAGTGTTCTAAAAAGTGTTGCAGAACCTGAGTCACTCAAGGTTGTAGGGGTCTGAATTATGAAAGTTTACTGTTGACCATCAGGGGCTTAATATTGAAATGGAATTCGGGGGACTCCAGGTGGAAGAAAATTTGAGTCCCCGCCCTTCGTCTCTCGTCTGACACCTCTTAGGACAGTAAGGCTTTACAGGTCCAGAACCAATGCTTCGCTTACCTCCGGCGTCCTCCACTGGCCCGCCCTGCTGGGCCCATCTGCTTTCCCGGGCCAGGGTCCTGCTCTGGTCCTCAGACCCTCCAGGACTGGTTCCCCTGCCCAGCCTGACGTACAGCAATTAACTGGGACAGACCTCCCTGGGCCCCCAGCTGGGGTAACTGCCCTAAACACCACTTTGTAATGTGACACTGTATCAAAACCTGTAATTCCATTTAAGAATTAATTCTAAGGAAGTCATCCAAAATATAGATTTTTCTTTTTCTTTTTTCTTTTTTCTTTTTTTGTGTGTGACCCAAGATGTTAGTGGCAGGGTTATTTATAATCACAAAAACTGGGACCTGGGGATCAATAACTAAATCGTGATATAGCCCCACAAAGGCATAGTGAGAGGCCATTAGGAATGCTATTCTCAAAGGATGTGTAATAACACAAAAAAGTATGACAAAATATGAAATATAAAACATACAGACATATGATAACTATTTAAAACCCATAATCCAAAGGCTATGCATTAAAAAAAATGAAGTAAGTATGTCTTAATTATAATGGTGGTTGCTCTGGGTCCTGTCGCTCACTATTTGCTTCTACTTTTTGTATTTCCCAAATGTTCTGTAATAAGCATATATTACTTTTATAATGAAAAAAAGTGCAAATATTTAATTTTTAAAAAACACATAGATTTCTCCTGATTCCCCTCTTCAGAGGCCCACACCGATGATGCCTTGAGCAGAGAGTTTCCCATTGTCCTCTCTTCCCCCCCCTACCCCCGCTTGAGGATGTCAAGCTACAGAGAAGCAGCACGTACCTGGTTCTGACCCATCCCATGACAGAGATACAGAACGACCTGGTGTCCCGTGATGTCGTGTTCATTGGGAGGGTTATAGTCAAAGCAGTGATCTTCTAGCCCTTTGTTCTGGAGCTAAACAAAACATAAGGGTGGCATTGTGGTCCAGATTTATACACAACAACAGATCCCCTCAAGGCTCTGAAAGGGGTGGGGGGGAGGGGGGTAAACGGAGTGAGAGGAGTGCCTGCCTCAGAGCTGGAGTCAAGGGTAAGAGCCCCTTACATTTCTAGTTTTTTGTTTTTGTTTTTGTTTTGTTTAAAGATTTTATTGGGGAATTGGGGAAGGGGAACAGTGTTGGGGAATTGGGGAAGGGGAATAGCCAAGTTGTTGTCCTTCAATCTTAGTTGTAAAGGGCGCAACTAACTCAGCTCCAAGTCCAGTCGCCATCTGGCCGCCCGTCGGCAGATTGCACCTGCTCAGTTCAAGGTGCCATGTTCAATCTTAGTTGCGGGTGGACACAGCCACCATCCCATGTGGGAGTCGAACCGGCAACCTTGTTGTTAGGAGCACGTGCTCTCACCAGCTGAGATATCCTGCCACCTGTTGGCAGCTCAGCAGCAGCTCAGTTTGGGTGCAGCTCACTGGCCCATATGGGAATCGAACCGGCGACCCTGTTGCTCAGAGTTCGTGCTCTTAACCAACTGAGCAACTTGGCCAGCCCCTACATTTCTACCGTATTTGCCGGCGTATAAGACGATTTTTTGGCCCTGAAAAATATGCCTCCAAGTGGGGGGTCGTCTTATACGCCAGGTACACTTCAGATAGACTGCCCATAGTGCTTGCCCCGTGCCATAGTGGCCTCCCGATGCCCGCCCACTTCATTCCACATACCGTTCAGGCATCAGCAGCGCTGCTGGGTGTATGCTCGGCTGTTATGCGATTTTGCTGTTATGCGATTTTACCACACTCGCAAAATCGCACACAGCCGACCATATAACAAACTCTGTATTTTGAGTGGAAATGTTAGGGGGTCGTCTTATACGCCGAGTCGTCTTATACGCCGGCAAATACGGTAGTTTTCAAAGTGCTTTCCCATTCTATACCATACACAGAAATCCTCACCCTCATTTTAAGATGATAAACCTGAGGATCAGAGAGATTAACTTTCTATGGCCTGAAAGCTCATATTCGTACCTCTTCATTTCTCATTAGTTCAGCCTTATTGCTGCACTACTCCAAACATAGATGGGTTGTCACCTCACATATATACCAAGGAGCTCCCACGATTAATATTATGTATCTGCAAAGGACATCCGGATGAAGAGACCCAGCATCCCCTAAATCAGAAGTCCACCACTCTAGACTACAGGAACAGCATCATACAAAGAGCCAGTGACTTGCCCAGAGTACTACAACAAATGGACATACCTGAGTGTTGAATCCTGGACCTCCAATTCTGAGTCCAGTGTTCTCTCCATCACTCAACATTTTCTTATCTAACATCACCTCTAAGTTATCTTTTGGCTCAAAACCCCTTTAATTGCTCTAAGAGCAAAAAACCATGAAAGGCTCCATGTTCCCTCCTCCCTGCCAGGAGGCTCCCAGGGAAAAACTCAAGCACTTTCCAAATCCCTTCCTGGAGAGTTTAAAGAACCCTCAACAGCGCCTTGAGAATCCCACTCCTGCCCTGGCCCTTGTCTACCCTTGACTAGCCTGGTTCTGATGACAAGACTCAGCTATATAGGAAGACTTCCCCAATCCACGAGCTCGTAAAGCACAGCCCTCCACATTCTTGAGAGCCGTTTGCTTTGTGAAGGAACCTGGGAACACGAGACATGCAGGTGACTCCATGAACCCACTGACCAATCTTATCACTAAAAGCTGGAGGACCAGCTGTTATGTGCTCCTGCTATGACGCAATTTGAGTACAAAGCACCCCGGTGAAGTGTTCTTGCCACAAAGGTTGATCCGACTCCCATCAACCCATTAGAACTCACATCCATTTTAAAGAAATACGGGGGAGAAAGGCAGCATTCAAAAGTCATCACAAAGAAACAATTAGACACTTCCAAGGGTGAGGCACCCTACAAGACAATGGATGCTGTGGCACAAGGGGAAAAATAAAGAAAAGAGGAAGAGAACTGGCTTAGATTAGAAAGACTTAGGAAAAAAGATGCTGAGAGCATACTCAGTGTGTACACCTTGTTTAGATCCCAGCGTGAACTTGCCAACTACCCCGAGAGAAATTTGAAAATTTGGGGGAATCTGAATAAGGGCTGGATATTAAATGACACCAAGAAATTATTTATTGCTCATTTGATTAGGGGTGATAATAGTCTGTGGTTTTGTAGGATGAGGTCCAAATTTTATTGAGATTCATGCTGACGTGCATAGGAGGAAATGGACAGAATGTCTGGGGTTTGCTTTAAAAAAAGAAAAATGTAGAAGGGTGGAGCACAGGAGCAGAGGACAGGGAAAGCAAGAGAGGCAAAATGTTGATCATTCTAGAATTTCGGGGACAGGGATCCTTATAGCATTCTCTCCATGTTTGCGTATTGAGCATTTTCATAATGAAAACTCAATTTAATGCATTAATATCCTGCTTGTGTTTATCAATGTTTTCCGGGATGGAACACCAGCACATCCGATCAACGCGACAAAGCAGAGGAGACCTCCCTCGTTAATGTGGTGCGATTCCTAACAAAAGCCAAAGACACTGGACATTTTGGCCAGCTTCTTTCCAGAAACACTTCTTTTAGGAATTTTGAAGTAACAGAGGTGACTCTGCTTTCCCTGCTACTCCCTCTGTGGATCCCTGACCTGGGAATTATTAACTGGTCCAGTCACCAAGACTTTAGGTAATGTGATAAGGTGCTAGTAAAAACTAGGATATGGAAACACCAAGTGAGCCTCAGTTTCCTCATCTATAAAATGGGAGGCCTGTATTAGCCAATTTTGAGATTGGGCTCCCAGGGCTGACATCCTAGACCTGAACCCCAGAAACTCATGGGGAGAAGAAAGGACAGTGGATGAAAAGGGGGAGGGGTGTGGGGTTAGGGGAGGCCAGCAGTCTCCATGAAGGGGCGTTTCTTGCCCAGGGTTTGTTGCTCAAACCTAGGGGTCCAGGATCTCCCTGCCTACCACAGGCTCGCCTCGCTCACCATCCCGAAGAAACCAGGCCTGTCTTCCGGCACGTGCAGCTCTGGATACACAGTCTCCAAGAACCACTTGAAGTCCTTACACTGGAGCTTGGCACGGAGCTGCCTCCTCTCTGTCACGTCCCCAAAGGGCTCCTGAGAAAACAACAAAACGGTGAACCCTGCAGGTCACAGTGCTTCCTATCAAAGCCTCTCCCTCCACTGATGATCATTCACTTGGTGAGATTTTATTGAGCACCTACTGTGTGCCAGGCCCTGTGCAGGACATGGAGGATAACGAAAAAATAGACTCAGACACAGTGGCATCACTCTAGCAGGAGAGACTGTCACACAATTACATTCCCAGGTGCTCCCACTACAGGGAGGTGCCACCAGGTGCACGAGGGAAAGACACAAAGCACCTGCTGATGGGATCAAGGAGCCAAATCCTGGACCACATTGGATCCCTGGACCCGTGCATCATTGATGAGCACATGATCACGGACCAGGAAACGTCAGTAGCACAAGTATGCCATGACATCCTGATTCACTGCTGATATCCGAACACTCCTTTCAAACACAGGTAAGTGTTCTAGATGTAATCATGAATGAAAACCTTCTTATGTGCTCAGTATAGTGAAGTCTAAATAGATACTTACAATGCTAAAAACAAAATGCTACAACAAATACCTATGGAAGCTTAGTTTTCCAGATAAAATCAATGATTTCAGGACTTCTGAACAACGAAATAAAACAAGCATCTATTTAGCATGACAAACACGCAGCCACAGCCACAGGAGAAATGCTGAGTGCCAAGACATTACTGTTCCTGCACTATGACATTAAACAATTAAAATCTGATACGTTAAACGTTTAACAAAACGGTAATGATAAGGAAAGACACTTGAATAAAATTTCAGATTTCTGCTTCTTTTCCATAAGCTCATTCTTTGATGAGAGTCACTGTGCCCTCATCTTCAACCAAACGTCCGTTTCAACAAACGACCATTGGGCATTCAGACGAAAGGTAAAAGCAGTGCCCCTCCAGCATATTACTCTTTGGGAATTCTCAGGAAGAGGGAAACGGGGTTTCCAGACTGGGTGACACAGAAGAGCAGATGTTTCTACTGCGGCCCTGGCCAGACAGAGGAAGCAATGGCCCTGGAGCCCACAGGCAGAAAGAGGCTGAGAGGGAGGTCAGGAGGAGGGTCCGCAGGGCTCTGCAGAGCAGAGCAGAGAGGCTCACTGGAGTGTGCATGCCCAAGGCCCAGTTCTGCCCGCATCAACTACAAGGCCTAGAGCATGTTCTTTAAATCACCCTCTCTGAGCTTGTTTTCTCATCTATAAAATGAAAATTTCAGAGCTGCCCTGAAGGGCTGCTGTATGGAATCAGAAGAAGTGATTTCCATCAAGTGGCCGGGAAAGACGTCTTTGAGCAGACCTTCTTGGCTGGCCAAGCAGCCCTCTTAGTTATGGGAACGCAGGGTATGTGGGCACCCTGTCCTGGGGTGCGCTGAGCTGGCCTGGGCAGAGGCAGTAGCTCTATCTGTTCAAATTTATTTGTAACCCTAAAATTAGTACTTGTGGTGTTTTTGTGCTTTCAGTCACTTGAGGACATGCGCCGAGTGGTGAAAAATTTGAGTCCCCTGTTGTGCATGTTCCCAGCGGAGGTCGCATTTCAGCTCTCACACTGCCAACAAGTGTCCTGTTCACAATCTGTTTAGTGCCACGTTTTCCACATTTTTGTGCTTTGTGTTGGCGATTCCACTGTGTATATGGGCCCCAAGCATTGTGCTGCCTAGTGTTCCTCAGCACAAGGAGGCTGGGATGGGCCTGGCAGAGAAAACGTGGGTTAGATAAGCTTCATTCAAGCACGAGTGACCATGCTGTTGGCCGTGAAGTCAATGTAATAAATCAACAACAATATATTAAATAAGCCATCTTTAAGCAGAAACACATAAAACCAAGTTATGTGTTGATCGGGTGACCAAAAGGTGAGCCTGCAAGAGGCCGTCAGGTGCCTCACCCTGTATTTCCCCTCGGAGCCTCAGTTCAGGATTCCTAAGTTCAGTGTTTGCAGTGACTCTAGAGAACACAACTACTGCAAATCATGAGAATCAACAATGTTATTATAGGTGAAGGAATAAAGTCGCCCCACGCTTGTATCATGAGCACCCAACTTATTCTCTATTTCTGGAACGAGGTCTGCTATGGTATGGGCCTGCTTTTCTTCAGATGAGGCCAGATGGCATGTGGGTAGCCCAGGGAACTCACCAAGCGGGCATGGGGGTTTCGATGGTAGTAGATCTCCTTAAATTCATCCATCCACACTTCAGCTGCACGGACGCTGTTGGCCAAAGCCTTTTTGCGGGAGTAGGGAGCTTGCTTGGGGAAAACGTGGCCAACGTGAGAACACGGGTGTATCTCCAGGGTCCCACCGCACTGCCAGATCTGCACACAGAGCAAAGCAGAGCAGAGGCTGGGGTGGGCGAGCAGGGAATGAGGTGCCGTGCACAATGCCTGAAGCAAGGAGGCCGGGCACAGACATCATGACGAACACTGCCAAGCCCTCACCCTTCATGGGGCAGGAGGCCACTTCCCCAGCACACTCTGAACACAGAATGCAGTCAGAGTAAGAGAGCAGCCCCAAAGACAAACAAGCCCTCAAATCAAGTCCATGCACTAAAGCTCATGCACTTGACTCACAGGAGTACCCACAGCTGACCTCACTGGCGACCCATTTACTCATTATGTAAAATACAAGCTAATTACCTGATTTCCTAGCCACAGAAGGTAGGAAAGCAGCAAGTAAGAAGAGAGGTTTGGAAGGAGGAAAGGGAGAGCTTCTAGAGGCAGGCAGAGCAGCCTGACACCTAGGGAAAAGGCAGAAAGACCATTAAAAGCACACCCTCGAACTCAACGGGCTGAGTCATCTGGGGCCAGTCATGCTGGGGCAAATGGCCTCGGACTCTCCACCGTCCACAGGAAGTATGATCAAGGATAGCACCTGGTGCTTACGATGGGGGTGTGCGTCCTTGGTAGAAAGCCCAACTCCTGTTTATTAAACAACTTTTTAAGCAGGAAACCATATAAAATATCATTAAAATTTAAAATTTTCCATTGAAAAGCACTAACTTTGACACACGTTTTGATACTAAAATGCAAGGCTTGGTTAACTGGAAAATCCACTGATGTGCTTGGGGTTGCTCAAAGGAGTACCATCTGTGGGCCACGTACAGCAGAATTGGTAGGCGGGCTCATTACATAAGGCAGATTGCTGGTCCCTACCATAAATCCATCGAATCCGACTTTCTGAAGACTGTTCCTGTATATCTGCCTTTTAAACAAGTTTCCCTAACAATTCTATTGTCAAAGTTTGAAAGTCACTGTGCTAAATAAAGAGGCCACTTCATATATAGTTAGGCAAATCAAGGCTCCAAAAAGATGGGATCAGGAGGCAGGGGCTGGAGTTTTAGTCTAGTTCCTGCCACTCACTCCGTGAGCAAATCACTTCCCCTCTCTGGGCCTCAGTTCCTCCCTGCTATAGTGAGAGAAAAGAATTAGGTGACTTGCAAGGCCCTTTCCTGTCCCAAATCTTTTCAAAAGTATATATTTTTTCAAAAATTCAAACAAGAAGGCAAGTAGGTTTATAGGATGCATGTGCCATTATTATCTTTCAGGGTCGCTGGATAAATTGCTAATATGGAGGAAAAGTCTACCAGGTTGTCATAGAATCCCACAATTCCCAAAGAGAGAGGAGCAGGGGAGAGGAGAGAGGAGAGAGGAGAAAGGAGAGAGAGAGAGAGAGAGAGAGAGAACGGGTTAAGAATGAGTCCAAAGAGAAGACTGGAATACTTACCCTAAAGGAGAATTCGAGGTTTTCTCCGCCCCAAACTTCCATTCCTGTATCATAAGACCCCAGATATTCAAAATATTTCTTACTCACAGCAAACAGCCCACCAGCCATTGTTGGAGACCTAGAAGAGTGTGAGATCCACATTGCAATGCAAGCAGCAGGAAACCATCACAGTTAGGTGAACTCCCTTCCCACCACAAGCCCTTCAGTCCCGTCACCCATCTCTAAGGGGACCCTGAGCACGATCGTGCTCTGCCTGGTGCTAAGCTGGGCCTGGAGGCACTGATGGACCCCCACGGTCCCTGTCCTGGGGAAGGGCACAGACATGGCAACAGGCAAGGACAGAACTCTGTGTATGATAAATGGGGACACAGAAGAGGGCAGAGCGGGTGGGGGGGAGCTCAGTGTCCTGGAAGAGGCAGGGTCTGCAGAACAAAGTAGAGTTAGCCAAGAAAAGGAATGAAACGACTCTCCGAGAAGGGACCAGCATGAGCAAAGGCCTAAGGGTAAGAGAAACCCTGTATTTTTAGAAGCCTAGACAACCAGGGGAGACAAGGAGACCATGATCTCCAGAATGGCAGGCACCAGGCTGTGGTGGCCTTGGTCACGCATCTCAGTGCAGACACTCACAGACGCCCTCCTAGAGGGCGGTGAGTAGAAGATCGTAATAGGCACGTGGCACCTTAAAGCTCGCCCTGGGCTGTTCTCCAGATGGCGCGGTCTCCCCTCCAGGACCCAGACACCAGCTTTGGCCTGCTTCCTCAGCCGGCCCTGTTTTCTCCCTACCATGTTCCTCTACAAGCCAGCACTGGTTTCAGAAACGGCCCAAGGCTTTCATCCTACCACAGCAGAAAGCTGTAGGGTCAACACAGAAAAGAATAAAAGAATACATTTGGAAATGGGGAAATATATAACTGAAGAACCCAAGTGTAGAATGTTTATATCCTCCAGCAGCACATCTGGGCCTTGACAAAGTGCTGGCCTTCCCTGCACGCCAAACTCTAGGTCAACTGAGAAAGGACAGCAAGATTCCTTGTAGGAGGGAAGGTTCTAGACTACAAAGCACTTTCACGTATGTTCATCCTAAAAGTCTAGGACATAGGCAGCGTGGATATGCTCATACCTATTTCACAGGTGAGGAAACTGAGGCCCAGGAATATTATGGGAGGGGTAGGGTAGCTGACTACTGTGCCCTTAAGCATGTATATGGGGGCGGTAGGCAACGGGAGAGCATGTCAGCATCATAGGCTGGCTATGTGACCATGGATAAGATCCTTCTCACTCTGGGCCTCAGTTTCCAAACCTGTTCAGCGAGAGGTTGGGCAGGATGCTTCCTAAGAGCCCCTACAGGAGCCTGGGAGTCATCCTCGAGTCCTCCCTTCCCTATTCCCATCTAATTTCTCCCAATTCTTCCACGCAGCATCTCTGGAATCTATCATTTCCCTCCATCTTCTCCTGCTCTGCAAGACTGCAATGCCTCCTATTGATGTCCCTGCCTGCAGCCCTGGCCTCTCCAGGTCCCTTACCATATGGCATCAGCATGATCTTTAAAGAATTCAACAGGCAATAGTCACTTCCAGCTGACATCCCTTCAGTGGCTTCTACCCTCTCAGGGTAAAGTCCCAACCTTTTCCTTGGCCTTCAAGGCTGAACATGACTTGGCCCATTTATCTCTCCAGCCCCATCTCTCAACTCTGTCTCCACACTCGTTCTACTCCAGCCAGCAGTAGGTCATCTCAAGGTCAGGACTCAGGTGGAAGGATTCAGAAGCCCAACTGCCAAACATGGGTGCAGATCTCAGATACCATTACTGCAGCGGTTCTCAACCTTCCTAATGCCGCGACCCCTTAATACAGTTCCTCATGTTGTGGTGACCCCCAACCATAAAATTATTTTCGTTGCTACTCTGTAACTGTCATTTTGCTACTGTTATGAATCGTAATGTAAATATCTTTGTGTTTTCCGATGGTCTTAGGCGACCCCTGTGAAAGGGTCGTTCGACCCCCCAAAAGGGGTTGCGACCCACGGGTTGAGAACCGCTGCATTACTGGCTCAATACACCAGCAATAAAGCTGAAGTCTGATCTCCACCTGCCCGACTTCCACATCTGCCTCCCAGCTGGTCCTGAACTTGGAAGGGGAGAAAGAAGCCAAACTATTATTTCAACACCTCAAGAATGAGAGCAACCGAACCCCCCTTTAGCCTGATGGACAGAGCACTGGCCACGCACTGGACAGAGCTGGCTCCTCCACCCCCACACTCACCCACACCCACCCCCGCCAGTTCAAAAGGTGCCTGACAGTGTGTCCTCAAAATGTTAAATGTGCATTTACCATATGACCCAGCAGTTCCACTCCTAGGTATATACCCCAAAGAATTGAAAATAAGGACTCAAACAGATACTGGCACTCCCATGTTCACAGCAGCATTATTTACAATAACCAAATGGTGGGAACAACACAAGTGTCCATCAACAGGTGAATGGGTAAACAAAATGTGGCTGTATAGACAATGGAATACTGTCTAGTCACAAAAAGGAATGAAGTTCTAGAGGAAACCTGCAAACATGTTAAGTGAAAGCAGCCAGGCACAAAAGGACAAATATTGTGTGATTCCCCCTATGTGAGGTATCTAGAACAGGAAAATTCACAGAGACAGAAAGTAGAAGAGAGGTTACCAGGGTCTGGAGGAGGGGAGGAAGTGGACTCATTGATTAATGGGTATAGTGTCCCTGCATAGGATGATGTAAATGTTCTGGAAATATGTAGAGGTAATGGTTGCTCAATATTGGGAAATGTGCTTGATATCACTGAATTGTACACTTAAAAATGGTGAAAATGGTAAATTTTAGGTTATGCATTTTACCATAATTTGAAAAATATATATATATGGGTATATAGATACACACACACACACACACACACACACACCGATATAAAATCCAAAATATGTATGCATGTGTGTATATACATACCAACAGCGAAGATTTTTAATAAAAAATAAACAAATGGTCTGGAGGAAGGTGGGGGTGTCGACAGGGCCTGCACTGACATGTGAGCCAGGTGCAATGAGGCTCGCTCAGAGAAGTTGACCCCTGACCTGATGACATCAATGGGGGACCGCATCCGCGTCTTCTCCCTCTTGGGAACCACGTGCCACGTGAACACCAGCCTCCAATCGAAACCGCCGATCTGGGGCTCCCCAGAGTTCCCCAGGTACTCAAAGGTGTTCCAATCAATCACATCAATCACAGGGCACACAACTGCAGACTCCTCTTCGTGGATCCTGCAAACACCCAGGACACCCCATGTCTCCATGTGCACAGGTGCCAGAGGACAATGAGGAAACTCGGGAATGAACTCTCTCACCCTTCCACAAGGAAGGAGACAGGCCTGTGTGAGAAAGGCCTGCTGCTCTTATATCAGGCATCTGCAGCCACGTCAGGCAGGTGACGATCTTGGGGGACGCTTGGGGAAGGGCGGGGAGCAAGGATCCTTTTTAAACAGAAGCAGATTTTCAATTTCTCAAGACTGCAAAAGGTTCCTTCATTTAATCACAATGAGTCATAAAGAGAGAAGAAATAATTATCTCCCTGTACAGAGATGCAGCCAAACCAAAGGGTCCGCTTTGGAGTTGGAATATAAATTCTAATTCTGCCCCTTATTCGCTGTGTGACATTAGCTGAGTCACCTAACCTCTCAGGGCCTGTTGCCTTGCGGTTAACACTGCAACAATACCTACTCATAGGGTTAAGGTGAGGACTCGCTGGGAATGTTTGTAAGATGCTTGGCAGGGAACCTGGAACTATTGCTACTCTTTTTTTTTAAATCTCTATTATTGTGAAATATTACATATAGAGGGAAACGCTATAATTTTCTGTTGCAGGTATCAGCCTGTATGTATACTTCAACTGTTCTCTCCACAATCGTTATTACAAGCCCAACCATCCTTCAGCACGCTTCCAGGCTGTGGGGTTTTTTTTTTTTTGCCTTTGACAGCACACCGGGAAAGATGAACTGAGACTAGACTATGTGTGAACACTACATTTCTCTGTGTTATGTTTTGGGGGCTTTTATCTGGAATTGGACACCTAAAAATCATAAGAGTCACACAAAACAATGGTGTGAAGAAACAGATCAGCCAAACCTGAGCTATGAGTGTTTTTAGAATAACAGCAGAAAGTCAGAGGGGGCATTATGAATACCACACTGAGTTAAGAATTACAATTTCAGGGAAAATTGCACTATTCAGGATAGATCATGTGGGACACAGACTCAAATTTGTGAGTTCACTAAGTTGAGGACGTTGCAGAGTAAGTACCCACCAATGCCCAATTCTTTAAATAAATTGAGGGTATTAGTAAAAGGGTTGAGAGCGGCAACAGCAGAGCTACCGGGCAGGTTCAAAGATGCTGTATGGCCCCTGGCAGAGACCCCAAGAACTTGTGACTTGCAATCAAGCTGGATGGAACCATGGATAACCTAATTTTTACAAAAAAGGGAAAACTTGGGGGAATCAGTATGGAGCAGAGGACTCTAATCATGATGGTTACAGAACCTGCAGGCTGAGTAGCAGGGTGCCCTGCGGGGGTTCTACTGGCATCTGGGGCAGAACCATTCTTTGCTGTGCAGGATATACATTGCAGGATACTTGGGATCCCTCGCCCCTGACTCACAAAATGCCAGGAATGCTACCCAGTTTAAATGACAACCAAGAACATCTATTTCCAAAATCCCCTAGTGGGAAGGGGTTACTCTTCCTGGTTGGGACCACCTGAGCGACAGTCTCTATAGAGTCCAGTGTGTCTCAATTTTGGTGCACACCTACATCCCTGGGGGGCTTTGGAAACATCCAGAAGCCCGGGATTCACCACCAGAGATTCAGACCCAAATGGTCTGCCATGGGCCCAAGGGTTGGGATGCTTAAAAAGTTCCCCACATGTTTCTAGTGGACAACCAGGGTGGAAAATCCCTTTGTCTACAGGGATGGAGCAAAAACTCGTTTATGGGGAGGGCTGCCTTGCTCTCTCCAAAGGGTGGGCTAGAGTGGAATTCTAGATGGCATTATTGCATCAGCTGACTTCAGACCAGCCTAGGGGTGACCACCAGCATGCACAGTGTGGGGAGGGGTGAAGGGCGAACCCACTAGTCCGGGTTCCAGAGGGAGCACTCAGCAGTCATCATGCTCTAAATAACCTCAGATTCCATCACAGGTATGAGAAACCCTGGGAACTGGTGAAGCTCATCAGAGCTGAGGAGAAACAGGCAGCCATGGTGCCCACAGGGAAAAAGGACAAGGAAGTAGCAGAGCAGGGGGCAGCTTGGTCTCACCCAGGAAGGGAGGCGAGTGGGTCCCCAGCTCTTCCAGGCAGGCCCTGGCAACCATGTGTGGAGGCCGTGGGAAAGCATTTTGCCAACTTTGCCAAGCCCCTGGTCCTCCAGCCCTTCTCCTGCTCTACACAGTCGGAACCAAACAGAGACCTTCCCCGCCCACCACCAAACCGGGATTTGCCAGCCCAGCTCCTGACTGCTGTGATGCAGAATCAGGAGAATGGGAAATAGAGCCGGAAGAGAATGAAAATCAGGGCCCAGTAATGGTGGTTTGGCGGGAAGGGGCAGATTGGGAGGGTTAGCATAAGAGGCTGTGGGACAGCAGAGAAAGTGGCCTTGAAGACAGGGCCACATTATGACTTTTCATGACTTCATTTTATATATATCTTTATCTATCTATCAATCGATTGATCGAGCAATCGATATAGACATAGATATAGATACAGATATATAGATATATATACTAGGAGTGTCAAAAAAATGTATACAAGTGGACACTTTGGTCAATGTTACTTAAGCAGTTCACCGTAATCAGAAGTGTCTGGTCGCTGATGGAAACCACTTTGAGCACCTCTTGTAATTGCAGAAGTCAAACGTGAGTTGTATTCATCTTTTGATATCAGTATATATTGAGTATTAACAATTTTAATACAGTCGTCCTTTCTTAAAATGTATATACTTTTTTTTGCACCCTCTGTATATATAAAACTATATTTTATGACTATATTGGTATAAAGACAAACACAATCCAGGTTAGATTCATTATTATGATATTCATTTCTTCCTTCTGATTTTAAAAGAAATTAACATAGAAACATGTTTGTGGGTCCAATGACGTTTCACGGGCCCTAGGCATTCTAGGTACTGGGCATAACTGACAAGTCAGCCCTGCTTAAAGGAAATACACCAAAATGTATATTCTCTAGAAGTGTCATTCTATTCAACTGACATTTTTCTTGGTCGATCATTCTTCCTAAGTATTCTACAAGAAACGTGTATAATAAGTAGTAATAAAAGCAAACATTCACATAGGACCGCCTACATGCTGGCATGTTCTAAGAACTGTACGTGTATTAAATCATTTAATAACCTCCACAGCCCGACGAGGTAGGGACTGTTATCACACCCAGTGACAAAGGACTTGCCCAAGGAGCACGTGAACCCAGGTGTCCCATGACCTTTCAAACCATGGTGATCAGTGGACAGTTCACGCACCTCTGCAGCAGTGGCTCCAACCATCCCTCGTGGCACTCACAGTGGCAGTCCAGGAAGGTCAGCACTTCGCCCTTCGCCGCGGAAGCACCCAGCAGCCGGGCGCGCACCAGGCCCTCCCTCTTGTTGGCACGGATCAGGCGCACCTTGGGCAGCCGTGACAGCTCTTTGGCTAGTCGTTCCTTCAGGTGATCTGGGGAGGCAAGCAGAACAATGAGGGTCACCACTGCACAGCCCAAACCAGATCCTTCCAGGGCCTCCCGGGCCCTCCTCCCCCAAAAGGCTAAATGACACGAGCCTCCTTTGCCCTGCCATCTGGGACATCCTCACCTCACCCAGAATCAAGGCTGGAACGACCAGAAGGCAGGGGGACGCTGGGGTGGAGCAAGTCCGGGACCACCAAATGCTGCCCATCAAAACACACACCCATTGAATTGTCCCGTCTGCATGAAAGGGGTGATGTGGTATGTGGATATATCTCAATAAAGCTATTATACTCCCCAAATACAATATTCCTTAATTTGAGAACATTTCAAAATAAAAAGCACAAGAACCACTCAACTATAATTTTTCTAAAAAATTGTGATAACATAAATTTTGTTAATTTATGTTAATTAATTATGTAATATGCTATAACATTTTAAATTATAAGGAATTATGTTAATAATTTTTATTTATAATATAGTTATGCTAATGTAAATTTTCTCAGGAGCACATCTCAGTTAAAACAGTAACAGTAGTCGTAATAATGGCAGCTAACATGAGAGGGCCTACTGTGCTCAATGTTGTCTAAGTGATTTATATATAACTCACGTGAGTCTTATAACAGTCCTATAAGGTAGATACTACTATTATCCCCATTTTATAGATGAGAACACTGAGGCCAGAGAGGCTAAGAAACTTTACAAGTTCAAGGTCACAGAGCAAGTGATCTGAGGAACCATGATTTAAACCCAGGGACTCTGGCTTGAATCCACAGACTTAACACTGCCTCCAAGAGCTTTCTTGTACAATTTCTCACTCCTCTTAAACAAATCCAATTTGTCATGAGAATGTGTTCATCCCATGCTACAGAAAAGAAAGTAAGTCCTTAAAAGTTGAAGGGCTGGCCGAGTGGCTCAGTTGGTTAAGAGCTCGCTCAAGAGTTTGAGCTCTGAGCAACAGCGGTTAGAGTTCAGCCCGAGCTGAGCAGCCACTGAGCTGCCATGGCTCAGCTAAAAAAAAAAAAAAAAAAGTTGAAAGGGCGTGCCCACAGCTAGGCTGGCCCCAGGACTACCCACTCCACACACAGGTTCCAGGTCTGGAGGCCCCAAGGTGGAAACCAGTAGGCACCCCTCAGGCAACATAAAAATGAGAGAATCTCCCCACATCAACATGGGTTTTGCCTCAAAGTCCTCAATCACCAGTGAAGGGGAAAATTTTATAAAATGTTCCAGGTTGCTTCACAGTTTGTGAAAATGTTTCCCTAAATATTCTTTCCATGCAAAAAAATAAACAAACATTTGTCAGTTGTTTTTTTCAATCCTAAATATAACAGCAAAGAAGCTGATGCCAGTAACAAGGGAGGTGACTTCCCAAGTAAAGGTAACTGACTGCAGTGCCCAGCGAATGCACGCGAAAGTGCATGTGTCGCTTTCCTGCACTCATTACGGGTTTGATAGGTGTTAATTTTCTGTCTGCCTGAACTGTTCCCACACCCTGGGAGGGCTGCTGCCCCTCCCAGAGCTCAGACTGACACTGCAGAAAGGGTGGGAGGAGGCAGGCAGGACTCTTACCTCCATTATAGGTTGAGCAGGACATCTCACCTGCTTTCCAGGTTACCAAGATGGGGGGAGGGGGGGAAGCGAGGAACCCCTGGTCCACAGTGTATGTATGAGGGAACTGATGGGTGCTGGAATGGGTTCATACGGTGTTCCTGCCTGCCACCGAGTCTCAGAAATCCTACTTAATCCCCTGAAGATAAAATTTTATATCTGATATTTGCTTCCGAATGAAGGCATTTCTGAAATATTTTCGGCACCTTGTAGTTTTTTTGATGTTTCATAAAAATAGAAGTTATTTAACAAGCGCTTACAATATGCCCGACACTGACCTTGCTTTATCTCATTTAATCCTCACAATGACCCTACAAGGTAGGAACTATTATTATTCCACTTAACTTATGTTAATTAATAATATTAACATGTTATAAAACAGGAGCTGATGCTGAGGTTGAAAATGGCCATGCTCCCTGCTGAAGGCTGTACGGCTACGAAGGGCTGGAGCTGGGAACCCAGCCTATGCGTTATGACCCAGAACCAGTGTCTACACAGACAAATTTAAAACAACTCTGGGAGAAATGCCAAAAGGAAACGGAGACAAGCGCCTACTACATGCTGGATGACATGAAGTTCTGTTCTCTACATGATCTCATTTATTCCTCAGAACTCTCTGAGAGAGGTGTGGATACACCCATTCATAGGTGGGAAACTGAGGCTCAGAGAAGACAAGTGAGCAGGGACTTGTCTTGCTCCCCCACAGAATCCCCAGGGCTTAGAACGCTGCCCCAAACACAGTAGAAACTCAAAAATTGTCCACTGACTAATAAAGGGCCAGCTCTGGGCTGCATGTGAACTGCTGGATTCCGAGGCCTACAGAAACGCTGACCACCCTCTTAATGGAACACCTCTCCCGAGCTTCCGTTCCTCTCCTGTCTGCACTCTTTTTGATCTCATCTCAACCTGTCCAAAACCAATCACCTTCCCCTTCCTCTCCCAGACCTGTTCCTCCTGCTCTGTAGCTCTGGGGACAGCACCACCATTCATCCAGAGACCCAAGCCAGAAGCCCGAGGGTCCTCCTTACCCCTCAGCCAGTCTCTAGGCCCATGGATGCCACCTCCCTCCCCTGCTACCTCACTCCAAGCCTCAAAGTCTCTAGTCCCCTGGCATCCCCACCAAGCTGCTCTGTATGCCATTCTCCACACTCCAGCCTACACTCCCCCAAACTGCTCTCCTGCTTAACCCCGCCTTGGTTCTCCCTGCCCTTAGGACAAAATCCAAGCTCCTTGGCCTCCTGCACCTTCTCCACCTCTCCTGCCTACTATTCCCTGAAGCATTGGCTGGCCCTCCCTCCTTCCTGAACTACTGGCAGATCCTGCACAATCCACACAGCATTGCACCTCCAAGCCTTTCCACATCTGTGCCCTCCACCTGAAACGCCCTTGTCCTCCTTTGCTGCCCACACTACTCAACCTTCAGCAGTAAGATCAACCACCCACTCCTCAGCACCCAGGCAGAGTGAGTCCCTCTCCTGTTTCCAGTAGCACCGTGTGGTAGAGCCTCTGTCATCACATCTGTGCCACTCCACCAGGCTCTGAGCTCCCTAAGGGCACGGGCTGAACACAGGGGGACACAGGAAGCTGGTCCTTACCAGGCCTATTCCACATGTCCCATGTCACACTCTCACATCGCAGGCACTGCCATGAAAAGCCAGGCTCCTCCAAGAGCCCGTAACGGGGGGTTTACCTCTATTGCTGTAGTCATCTACGAGGATAACTTCTTCTAGCAGGATGTCTGGGGACGTCTCAAGGACACTGTAAACTGTTCGAAGCAGAGTTGACCAGGCTTCATTATAAAATGCTATGATAACAGAAGTTGTGGGCAAATGTTCATAATCGTATTTCTTCTCTTTGCACCTGCAAACATAACACACAACTTCAGGAATCAAGGACCCACGGCTGACTGTAGGTACCCAGCCCAGGCCGGTGCTGGAGATGGACCAATGAAGGGGACACAGGTCACAGACTTGAGGGGAAGGGGACATAATCTGCTGGGATCTTCCAGAGCCCCCCATATTCCACTAGGAACCCCAGCAGATCCTAAGAAAAGCTCTAACATGGTACCCGATAAGATTGAACTGAGGAATACCGGTTTTAAGCTTTAAAGCAATTTTCAGATTTGAGCAACATACAAACTAAGTGGAATCAGAAGGGAGGGGACAGTCACTTCTCCCTGCCCAATAGCTCTTCCATCTGTCTACTCCTTTCCCATCCCACTGCCAGGCCTCTGCTCAGACTGCGCCCTCTGCCTGGAACGCCCTTTCCTTCCTCCTTTCCTTGGCACACTCTCTGTCCTCTTCCAAGAACAACTCAACTCTTTTCTGCTTTGGGAAGGCCCTGGGATCCCGCCCGGGGCAGTGGCTCCCTGTCTCCTCGATTCTCCTCCAGTCCTTGCCTCCATGGCAGCACGTGCCATTCACTGTGCTCTGGTTCTTCACGCCCCACTTGGGCCTCTCCCCACCTTCTCCCATCATCTTCCCTACGCTCCATCCCAGCAGTGTCTATGGGAATGGGAAATACTCTGCTGAGGTCTTCTAGTGCCCCACCACACACACACACCATGGTCCACCAAGAATTTCAGCAGATTCTAAGAAAGGTTCTAAAATGGCACCCAATAAGCGGAACATCAGAAGGACCAGGGTTCAACGCTGGGTTGGAAATTCAAGAAGGGGATAAATGCTGATGACCAGCCAGGCTACAAGCAGAAAGGGAGGGCCTTACAGACAATATGACGGGCAGATCAAAGAGACAGAGAGCCAAGCAGGATGAGGAGTGAGACTGACATCTACTAACTATCTGCCATACGCCAGGCACCGTACCAATGGGCCTTTATCAGTCAGTCACCGAATATTTCCTACTCCATGATGGCCTACTCCATGCCAAATAGGCAAAACCCCTGCTCCCACAGAGCTTACATTCAGGGGGACAATAATCAAGTAAGCAAACATATCAATACTTTCAGAAAGTGATAATACTATGAACAAACTGAGGGTGATGACACAGAGCAACTCCAGAGGGGAGTGCGGAGGGAGAATGGGAGCAACCACAGAACAGGTAATCCGGGAGGGCCTCTCAGAGAAGGTGACATTTAGGATGAGACCTGAATGATGAGGGACCCAATCCCACAAAAGGCCAAGGAAGGAATCTTTGTGTATACAGCTTATTTCTTTGTCGTTTTTTTTCCTTTTATCTTATTATAAAAATTTCCAAACATATTAAAAGTAGAGAAAATACTGGAAGAAACTTCTCTGTACCTATTGCCTGACTTCAACAATTCTCAACACCTGGTCAATTGATTTACCTACGTCCTCACCAACTCCCCCATCCCAGATTATTTTTAAGCAAAATTCAGCATATCACAGTGTCCATAAATATTTCAATACATATCTCTAAGAGAAAAGGATTTTTTAAATAATAAATCCAATATCATTGCAACACCTTAAAAACTTAGCAATTCCCTAGTGATATCACATCCCTGGTCTACAATGAAACTTAAGAGCCTAACAGTTGGAAGACATAGCCTTCTTTCATGAACCAATAAGACAGACAACCATGGAAAGCACTGATTTTAAGACACATCCTAACTTTAGAAATTTTTAAATACTTTTGTCAAAAAGTGCCTTAGAATCGATGAAATGGAGTACTTTATTTAACTTGCACAACCACTTCCTATGTTAGTCTTTATTGTTTCCATTTTAAAGACCATGCTCAGAGAGATGGGGTAACTTGGGCGGTTCAGAGTGCCTGTGAGTGTGTACATGAACACGTGACTGAGAACCTTGACAGGGCGCTTGCCATAGGTCTGGTTATCTTGCTCCTTCTACCCTCCAGGAGGCTCAGGTGGGCCATCGGAATCTAAATAAAGAGCCTTACAATCACATGGCCCCGCCTAGCCCTCCCTCCTACCTCGCATGAGCAATTTCTTCTCTCCTCCCTCTCAGGGTCTTCCAAGGAGCTCCAGGCCCCTTTTCCTAAATGCCAGGGTAGCTTCTGCAGCAGCCCAGGCTCTGCCGTCACTGGGGTGGCTTTTCCACATGAACAGGTTTATCGAAGAGTCTCTGTTAGAGGGGCTTGCTCTTCACAGCTGCCTTTACACTCTCTCCCTGCTGCCTCCAGAGGCCCAGCTCTGAGCACCCAAGGAAAAGTCAGACAAGGCTGGAATCATGCCAGCTCTGGTGTCCTGAAGCAACAGGGCATCCCCACCTGCCCCAGTGAGTGGGACCTGAATCTCTGGATGCCGTGATCTTCCAATGCACGGAAGTAGTGACTTAGCACTGCGCTCCACAGAGGGCCTTCCAGCCCACACACAAAGGGAGGAGAATTAGGTCTGCCTTTTGAACGGAAGGATGTCAAAACGTGGTGTATGTTTTAAAACCACCATACATGAACAGAATGCAGCAGAAGTGACAGGATGTGACTTCCGAGACCAGGTCATGAGACAGAGGTTTCCTCTTTTTTCCCACTCTGGGCAAGGCCAGCAACCCACGCAGTGAGGACAGTCAAGTGGCCTAATGAGAGGTCTATAAGGCAGAGCTGAGGCCTCTGACCAAAGCCGGTACAAACTTTCCAGCATGGGATGTGCCTTCTTGAAAGCAGATCCTCCAGCCCCAATCAAGCCTTGAGATGATGAAAGCCCTTCGGTGGCATTTTGACTGTGATCTCATGACAGACCCCCAAGCCAGAACCACCAGCTAAGCCACGCCCAAATTCCTGACCCAGAGAAATGATGTGAAATAACAAATGTTTATTATTGTTTTAAGTCATGACGTTTTGTGGTAACACATACACTGAAATAAATCACAGGGAAACTCTCAGACAGGTCCAAATGAAGTGATATTTTATAAACCAATAGGCCTGTACTCTTAAAAACGCCAATGTCCTCAGAGACAATGAAAGGCGGAGGGACTGTTTCAGACTGAAGGAGACTAGAGACATGACAACTAAATGTCATACTTGATTCTTGATACCGGATCAGGAAGAAAAACGCTGGGATAGTTGGAAAAATCCAGTATCGTATACATTTCCTGAGTTTTGATCATTGCATCGTGGTATCACGACATAAGATCCTTGTTCTTTAAAAATACACACAGGCAAGGGCCCGCCTAGTGGCTCAGTTGGTTAAGAGCTCACTCAAGAGTTTGAGCTCTGAGCAACAGCGGTTCAATTCCCAGCCCGAGCTGTCTGTTCCCCATCCTCAATTCCCCAACGCTGGTTGCAACAGGTGGCAGGATGGCTCAGCTAAAAAAAAAAAAAAAAAAATACACACAGGCATAACAAAGGATAAAGGATTGCTATCTCTGTAACTTATTCTTGAATGTGTATGCTTTTAGAGTATACATATAGAAAGAAAAACTAAGTAAATGGAGCAAAATATGTAATGAGTAGACCTCAGTGAAGGATATATAGGAGTTTGTTTGCTAGTCTTGCAAAGTTCCTCTAGGTTTGAATTTTTCAAAATTACAAGTCTAATAGAAGAAAAAAAAATTAATGTTGCAAGGGGTATACCCAAACACCAAGCTGATTCTGATCTATAGATATGTATCTCAATCAGTGGCCCTGACAAAGGCCCTCGCCTATCTCATTCTTTTCTACTTCCACCATAGCAGCTGCCCTCCTCCAAATATATTATAGCAAATGGAAAACATACATATGCATAAAAATATTAATAAGTGTCTGGATTTAATAAGGCCCTGAGAACTAGATGGGGTGCATAGAAAAGTGATCATAGCCCACTAAAGACATCAGAAAGAATTAATTGCTTATACTACATGAAAAAAATGTTTTTGTGAAACCTAAAAATAAAGATCATTTTAACTTTAAAAAAAGTTACAGCTAAAATTTAGTTTCAAACATACAGATCCAAAGAGAAAGGAGTGAAAATAAAGGATGGTGAAGTGAGATTTTATTTTTTTTAATTTTTATTTTTTTCTGCCCGCTCCCGTCCTGAAGTGAGATTTTAAAAACCGAAGTTCATTCAACTTAAAGAACTGTCCTTCAGTCTGAAATCACATTCCTACTGTTTTGGATTAAAGTTTATTTCTTCTCATGATGAGAATAAGTAGAAGGGGCCGAAAAAGCTCTCCTTGACCCAGTAGAGTTGGGACCATATGTCAGCCCCACCTCAATATTTTTATGTGTTTTCACTACTCTGTGACAACGCAAAGCCCCAGACCACTGTTCTCAAATGTCTGGGTGGGCTCTCTATTTGTGTCCCCTTAAATCACAAAAACACTGGGTACCCCTGTGGTAACACATACTCAGCTTTAAAATGTTCCTCTTCTCTTTGCTCTCCTATCAATACCTCTAAGAATTTCTCACCTAAGGCAATAAATAGAGATATCCTGAAGGAGGCTTGCCATAAAAATTTCCCCTGTAACATTATTTATAATAGCAAAAAGCTGTAAACAATTTCAATATCAAAAACAAGTAGTTAAATAAAGTGTAGCATGGCTACATGAAGAAAGGCCCCATGGCCATTCAAAAACACATTTTCAGAGTCTATTTAACAATAAAAGAGAATGACCATATTATAATGTCAATTCCAAAAAAGAGGATGAAAATCCACACAGCATTATGTCAATTCTATACACAACAATGTGTGTGTGCGCACGTTCAGAAACAATAAACAATTGAAAGAAATAAGCCAAAATGTTAACAATGGTGATCTGAGAGTGGGATTACTGCTGAGTCTTGATTCTTCATATTCTTCAGCATTCTAAAATTGTTCTACAATAAATCTGCATTATTTTTGTAATCACAAAGAAAGATTATTTTTAAAAGCTGGATCCTATTTCTTTAGCTCCCCATAACAAATGCCTTCATCAAACAATAATTTAATATTCTGGCTTCTTTTTCTT